CCTCCTCCTCCTCCTCCTCCTCCTCCTCCTCCTCCTCCTCCTCCTCCTCCTCCTTCCTCGTTCTCAGCTCCTCTTTGAGATACTATCCTGCAGGAGATCCGATGACCTGGAGGATCGCTCCTCCTCACCCGCAGCGAGTGACGCCCAATACCATGATGCAGACAAGATTTCTTCCTCCTCAGGTTCCTACCCCTACCCCTACACCTTCCCCTTCCCTTTCCCTTCCTCTGCCCCTGCCCCTTCCCCTGCCCCTTCCCTTTCTCCTTCTTCTGCCCCTGCCCCTGCTCTTGTACCTGCTTTTGCTGAGAGAGCTCATCATTAATTTCCTGGATGGAACTGAAAAGTCCGATCTTACACGTGTACATAATGATACAATAGTGTTGATACAATTTCAATCTTTAAATCCGATTACAAACTCTTACACTCCCTGCCTCTCTCCCTCTACTCCTCCCGTCTCCTCTGTCTTCCTTCCCCTCCCGTCTCTTCCTTCCTCCTCTCTTTCCCCTCCCGTCTCTTCCTCCCGCACGCATCCTCCACTCTCTGCGCATTTCACACGTCTTGCCCCATCCTAGCCTGCATCGACGCCAGCAGCGCAAGTGAAGGGTTCGTCGACGAGCAAACAGTGCGCTGAGCTCTAGATCGCAGCTTCGCTCGGTCTCCTATCCTCTCCACTCCCACCTCCTTCAGCTCCTGCTCGTTCATCGCCGCCAGCGCCTCGACATCGATCTTCTCTTCCTCAAACTTGGGCAGCAGCTCCTCCAGCCCGAGCTCCTTCAGCCAGGACTGGATCTTCTTCCTCGACGCCTCCTCCTCCCGTGCGCGCGATCCACCCACGGGCTGGTATGGCTCGTTATGCATCATCGAGAAGAGGAAGTTGTTAGCGATCTTCCGCTGCTTCCTCATCCTCTTCTCTTCCAGGTTGCAACTCTCGTCAAGGTCATGGTTGTGCTCAGGCATGACGCGCAGAACGACCCAACCGGCGACCTCTCCCTCCACCTCGCTCACGTACTCGCACACCATCTCCCACTTGCAACAAGGCTTGTCGTACGCATGCCCCATCCCGTGCGTGCAGATATACTTCTTCTGCGTCCCCTTGAACCCTGTTGCCTTCCTCCTCGTCTCCCAGCGCGCCGGCCAGCAGCCGGGGTTGCCGTCAGGCTTCTCCTTGTCTCCCACGAACTGCTCCAGCTCGTCCATCTGCCAGCTCCTCTTCGCTTCCGGCGGTGACATGGTTGTGTTCCTCATCGACTTACCCGCCCTCAGGTCCGAGCGATGGTCAGCTTGCCGCAGCCTTGAGCCTGCATGGTCTCTGCTCTTGCTCCCTCCCTTCCCGTTGGACTTCTTCGTTCGCTTCTTCTGCTTCTTCTTGGAGGATCTTCATGACGAGTCTCCTCTGCCCCACCGTCGGCATGAGGCACGGAGCAGCGATCGCGGTTGTTTTTCTCCTGCTCTTCTGCGATATGGTCCAGCATATCAGCGCTGGAGTCTGAGAGAACTTCTCGGTTGCCAGTGAAGCCATCGTCATGATCGTCTTCATGAATCACCGCTGCCATGTTCGCTCCTGTCTCCGTCATCTCTCAGTGCCTCCACCTCAGACCACTGCTGGTTGTCGGCATGAGGATCTTGAACTGCCCTCAATTGGGGAGAGGGAATGTTTTTAGTCAAACTGGGCTTTGAAGCGAGACAGTTAAATACTGATATCCAATCGTTCATAGTGGTTTCCAACTGCCCTTGTGCTGAGAGGAGTTCGTACTAGATTTTCGGCCTAGACCCTTCAGTTTCAAATTTCCCCTGTCCTGTTTCAATCCTCCCCCTGCTGGTTTCGCCGGCTGAACAGTTCCCGGCTGCCAGCCCAATGGCCGGCAGCGGCAGCTGAAAATGCAGACAGCGCCGTCCTGACGCGACGACACCCTCTGTTGTCCACTACGTGTGATCCTCCCCCTCCCTCTTCTCCCCTGTCGTGTACTCCCTTACTAGAAACGAAGCCTGTCGAACCCTCTTCTGCCAACTTCGCCTATCCCCATCTTTCCATACCTCAACTCAGACACGTATCTTCTCTCCCATTGGACCTTCGAGTACTCTTATCCCCCTCCTCGTCTCGAGTCCTTATCTTCAGATCTCAACGAGTTGCATCCAGCCATCACCATGGCAGAGTGTGTACTGGAGATGGTGCAATCTATTCTCGTTAGCATGTGGAATGAAGCACGTATGGTGATGACCAATCAGGAGCAGCTGCAGAGCCTGGCTTCGGATGTGAAGGATGTCATGAGCCCGCTCCTCGAGCTTTTGCGTCGAAGCCTTCGCATAGATCAAGAGCAGCAGGTAGGCTTCGCCCTCAACCGTGTCTACTTCACCCTGTCGTCGGTGCTCGCATTCATCAAGATGAAGGCGGGGGGTCGATCAGAGTCGTCTGTGACGCTGGAGGGCAAACCAGATGCCGAGCTTGGCGGAAAGCGAGCGGAGATGTACTTCGCGGTAGAAGCCTTGATGCAGGCCCTGCAGGGCGAAGGCGGCACGGCCATGAGCGAAGCAGGGGACGGGAAGCAAGACGAGGTGGTAACCAGCAAGCCAGCATACAGGAGGATGAAGGAGGCAGCCGAGCAGCTGGCAGCTGAAGCCGACATCTTCTCTTCCTCAGAGGCTGAGGAGAGCGACGGGACGCGCCATCCATGGTGTCTGAATCCCTTGGAGCTGCAGGTTGAGCGAAACAGTCGTGGCAAACCAAAGCATGTGCTGGGGTCCGGAGGGTTTGCGGTCGTGTACCGGGCCTCGTATCAAGGCACGGAGGTTGCGGTCAAGGAGCCTCATAATCCTCGCGATCTTGAAGGCAGCAAGCTGATGCGGAAAGCATTCTTCAGAGAGGCCAACAACCTCTTCAGAATACATCATCGCAACGTGATAGAGCTGGTCGGAGCCATGGTCGTGGACGAGGAAGGGAACCCTTGCTTCCTGCTGGTCACCGAGCTACTGCGGCGACCCCTCACCGAGTACATCGAGGAGACGATGAAGCCAGCGAGTGAGAGCGAGCGAAGAGCGCGGGGCCACGTGGTGATGCTTGGACTGGCGGAGGGTCTGGCGTACCTGCACTCTATGCGCATCATCCATAGGGACATCAAGCCCCAGAACATCATGCTTGACGACAAGGACATCCCAAAACTCATCGACTTTGGGCTCTCAAAGGAGAAGGAAGAGATTGCTCATTCCAAAGGAAGCACTAGGCTTGCAGGAACAATGAGCTGGATGTCGCCAGAGAAGCGACGAAGCAAGCCTACGTCCACCGCATCTGACGTGTACGCCCTCGGGCTGGTGATGATGAATGTGATGACGCTTGAGACGCCGCCGGAGAGCCAGGAGGAGCGCGAGAAGCTGCTCAAGGAAACGAGTGACAAGGGAGTGAGCGGGCAGGTGTCGCTATGGTGCATACACGAGGACCCGTCGAGGAGGCCGACGGCGGCTACTGTTGCAATGAGCTTGACGATGGACCGAGATCTATGCGGGGGAGGGGAAGTGCTGACAGGTGAGTCGAAGGTGTAAATAAGGAAGGATTGTTTTGTAAGAGACTTGTATAGGAGGCGATCGGCAAGTATCAGATACCACCGATGACGGAGAAACTATTGTTCGATGGCAGGAACGTTGCTCATTTCATGGACATTTTCGTCAGATTTTGATAGTCTCATTGTCAAGGGATGGCAGTAAGGTTGTAACAGGGCTAGATGACAACACTGCAAGAGTCTGGGAGGCAAGCAGTGGTAGGCAATCTGTTTGCTTTGAAGGACACACGAGAAATGTCAAATGTTGCGTATGGACTTGTGATGGAGGATTGATTGCATCGGGCTCTGATGACAAAACGGTGAGAGTGTGGGAGGCGAGCAGCGGTAAACAAATCAGCTGCTGTAGAGGACACACAGATGGAGTTACTACCGTGGTATGGTCTGGCGATGAAAAGCTTGTTGTAGCTGGATCTTGGGATTCAACTATAAGGGTATGGGATGCGAGGGCTGGGAGGCAAATCAGCTGCTTGAAGGGGCATACAGATGGTATCTATAGCGTGTCGTTGTCGTGGGACTCGAGGATGATCGCTTCAGGCTCAGATGACCGCACCGTGAGGATATGGGATGTGAGCAGTGGCAAGCAGCTGAGATGCTGTAGAGAGCACAATGGCAGCGTCACTTGTGTCTCGTGGTCAGAAGATGGAAGGATGATTGCCTCCGGATCAGATGACGGGACTGTGGGGGTGTGGGAGGCGAGCAGTGGTAACTTAATCAGCTGTTGTGAAGGTCATGAGGGTAGTGTAATGATAGTTGCTTGGTCAAGAGATGGAAGGATGATTGCCTCCGGATCAGATGACGGGACTGTGGGGGTGTGGGAGGCGAGCAGTGGTAACTTAATCAGCTGTTGTGAAGGTCATGAGGGTAGTGTAATGATAGTTGCTTGGTCAAGAGATGGAAGGATGATTGCCTCCGGATCAGATGACGGGACTGTGAGGGTGTGGGAGGCGAGCAGTGGGAGGCCTATAAGATCATGCAAGGAGAAAACAGATTTTGTCAACAATGTCTCAGGAGCTGTGAGATTGATTGAGACAACGAGTGGGAAGCTGGGTTATCAGATTGACCGTTCGGAAGGACCTCGTCCGTTTCCTACTCATATTGCATGGCTGGGAAATGGACAGCTGATCGCTTCGGGCACTGATGATCAAAAAGTTCGTCTCTGGGAAGGGATGTTTTTTGAATTGAAGGAGATGAGGAGGTCGAAGCGCTTGAAGACGGCATGATGACTGGCAACGAATCAGGACCGAAACATTGAAGTCATGCATTCACTGACTTCCAGTGACAGTGAGGGATATCATATGATCTGATGGCGATTAAGATTGGTGAAACAACTGTCATAATTGTTGCGCAAGTATAAATTAGCGATCAAGCAGGCTTGACAGTACTCAGTAAAAAGTAACTCAGTTATGGTTTCAGCGTGTTTCATGTATGGCCCTCATGCAATGGTTCTGCTGAGTTGCTCTATGGAAGAAAGACTCCATTTGTTTGAGTTGTATGATACTCATTTACGCTCTCGTTCTCTCGATCGCGTTGAAAATATTTGATGCCGCAAGCATTTCTCTAAGAACTCTTTGTTTTTACCGCTGCAACGTTTACAGCCCCGTCATGAGAGGAGCAGGTTTTGTCTGATTTCCATCATACTTTCTGTGTGCATTCTCATGCTCTCATTCTTTTACCCGATTGTAATTGCCCTTTCATCTCCTCTGCATCGCCATCTTCGTTATCACTCCCTGCTCTTCCTCTTCTCCTCTTTTTTGACAGCCATTCTCTCCAATTGATGCTTACGCGTTTAGGACTCCTGACCCATAGAATGCCTTGCCATATCTTGATTGTCCTGTCCCAGGACCCAGATGCAATCACTCTCCCATTCCACGACCATGATACGCATGACACACCACTCGCATGACCTCTCAAATACCAGATTCTCTTGCCTGTGACGACCTCCCATATTCGCAAGGTTTTGTCCCATGAGCTTGATGCGATCATCCTTGCATCGCCCGACCATGACACACTGGTAACAACGTGTGTATGTCCCTCACAGCAGCTCATCTGTCTGCCCCCCTGTACCTCCCATATTCTCACAGTATTGTCGTGTGAACCTGATGCAATCATCTTGCTATCTGCAGAAAATGATACGCAGGTGACAGAGTGGGTGTGACCTTCTAGACAAGTCATCTCGCTTCCACTGCTTGCTTCCCATATTCTAATAGTCCCATCTTCGGATCCTGAAGCAATCATCTTCCCATCTCCCGACCATGACACGCTAGTAACTTTGTTATTCGTACCTTGCAGGCGAAGAATTTCTCTCCCATTACTCACCTCCCACACTCTTAAAGTTTCGTCATTTGAACCCGAGACAACCAATCTCCCATCTGCCGACCATGATACACTTTTGACACAGTCTGTATGTCCCAAAAGACAGCTGATTTGATTTCGACTATTCGCATCCCATATCCTTATTGACCGGTCGTCTGAGCTCGAGGCAATAAATCTTCCATCAGCTGACCAAGAAACACAGTTCACGATGCCCGAGTGACCTCGAAAGCATGCAACCTCCTGGTAAGTGTTTGGATCCCATAATCTCACAGTCTCATCAGCTGACCCAGACACTATGAACTTTCCGTCCCATGACCAGCAAACACTGCACACGCTGCCAATGTCTCCACGCAAACAGCTGTTGTACCTCCATTGAACCATATTGTCATCTTCTTCAGAACCCCTGATTAAACTCCCTCCCCTCCCTACAAAACAAAAGAATTAGCCCAAGAAATCCAAGCATGTTTTGACCTTTAAGAACCTGACCTCCCCCGCATAGATCTCGGTCCATCGTCAAGCTCATTGCAACAGTAGCCGCCGTCGGCCTCCTCGACGGGTCCTCGTGTATGCACCATAGCGACACCTGCCCGCTCACTCCCTTGTCACTCGTTTCCTTGAGCAGCTTCTCGCGCTCCTCCTGGCTCTCCGGCGGCGTCTCAAGCGTCATCACATTCATCATCACCAGCCCGAGGGCGTACACGTCAGATGCGGTTGTTGAGGGCTCGCCTCGTCGCTTCTCTGGCGACATCCAATCTAGAGTGCCTCCCCCTGCACTGTGCACTGGTGCAACCATGGATTGTTTCTCCTTCGAAAGCCCCAGGTCGATGAGTTTTGGGATGTCCTTGTCGTCAAGCATGATGTTCTGGGGCTTGATGTCCCTATGGATGATGCGCATAGAGTGCAGGTACGCCAGACCCTCCGCCAGTCCAAGCATCACCACGTGGCCCCGCGCTCTTCGCTCGCTCTCACTCGCTGGCTTCATCGTCTCCTCGATGTACTCGGTGAGGGGTCGCCGCAGTAGCTCGGTGACCAGCAGGAAGCAAGGGTTCCCTTCCTCGTCCACGACCATGGCTCCGACCAGCTCTATCACGTTGCGATGATGTATTCTGAAGAGGTTGTTGGCCTCTCTGAAGAATGCTTTCCGCATCAGCTTGCTGCCTTCAAGATCGCAAGGATTATGAGGCTCCTTGACCGCAACCTCCGTGCCTTGATACGAGGCCCGGTACACGACCGCAAACCCTCCGGACCCCAGCACATGCTTTGGTTGGCCACGACTGTTTCGCTCAACCTGCAGCTCCAAGGGATTCAGACACCATGGATGGCGCGTCCCGTCGCTCTCCTCAGCCTCTGAGGAAGAGAAGATGTCGGCTTCAGCTGCCAGCTGCTCGGCTGCCTCCTTCATCCTCCTGTATGCTGGCTTGCTGGTTACCACCTCGTCTTGCTTCCCGTCCCCTGCTTCGCTCATGGCCGTGCCGCCTTCGCCCTGCAGGGCCTGCATCAAGGCTTCTACCGCGAAGTACATCTCCGCTCGCTTTCCGCCAAGCTCGGCATCTAGTTTGCCCTCCAGCGTCACAGACGACTCTGATCGACCCCCCGCCTTCATCTTGATGAATGCGAGCACCGACGACAGGGTGAAGTAGACACGGTTGAGGGCGAAGCCTACCTGCTGCTCTTGATCTATGCGAAGGCTTCGACGCAAAAGCTCGAGGAGCGGGCTCATGACATCCTTCACATCCGAAGCCAGGCTCTGCAGCTGCTCCTGATTGGCCATCGCCAAGTGTGCTTCATTCCACATGCTAACGAGAATAGATTGTACCATTCCGTGAACGCTCTCTGCCATGTTGGGAATCTAGGCAAGGAAAGCAAATCAGATCGAATTAAGAAGGTTTAGGAGTATGGGGGAGTAATGCGGACGGATTTGATTGGGATTTGGGAATAGATTGTGAAGATGTCATGACTACATCTTTTTGAAGGCAGCACAGATGAGTCATGTAGAAGGGGATGAGACGCTTTGGCGATGTTGCATGCGAAGGAGACGCATTCTAACAAGAGTCAGGTAGTTGCACTGTAGGTGGGCAGGCAGATGGAGAGGACTTGCAGGGATTGACGGTGTGATGCACACCCTCCATATGTGTACCCCACCCTACGTTATGTCAATTTGGACCCCTACCCTTCTAGATGATTTCCTACCTACGTTGACCACCCACCCCTGCATCCATCCCCTCTATCCGAAAGGAACGCATCCTCTTCGGGCGCCCTCCTAGCTTCAACGTCACACTTCTCCATCATCCCCCGATCCCTCCAGACAATTGTTTCCCTTTATGTGCACAACACGAACAGAAATCCAACCTTGACATGATTAACCCGCATTACTCCCCCATACTCCTAAACCTTCTTAATTCGATCTGATTTGCTTTCCTTGCCTAGATTCCCAACATGGCAGAGAGCGTTCACGGAATGGTACAATCTATTCTCGTTAGCATGTGGAATGAAGCACACTTGGCGATGGCCAATCAGGAGCAGCTGCAGAGCCTGGCTTCGGATGTGAAGGATGTCATGAGCCCGCTCCTCGAGCTTTTGCGTCGAAGCCTTCGCATAGATCAAGAGCAGCAGGTAGGCTTCGCCCTCAACCGTGTCTACTTCACCCTGTCGTCGGTGCTCGCATTCATCAAGATGAAGGCGGGGGGTCGATCAGAGTCGTCTGTGACGCTGGAGGGCAAACTAGATGCCGAGCTTGGCGGAAAGCGAGCGGAGATGTACTTCGCGGTAGAAGCCTTGATGCAGGCCCTGCAGGGCGAAGGCGGCACGGCCATGAGCGAAGCAGGGGACGGGAAGCAAGACGAGGTGGTAACCAGCAAGCCAGCATACAGGAGGATGAAGGAGGCAGCCGAGCAGCTGGCAGCTGAAGCCGACATCTTCTCTTCCTCAGAGGCTGAGGAGAGCGACGGGACGCGCCATCCATGGTGTCTGAATCCCTTGGAGCTGCAGGTTGAGCGAAACAGTCGTGGCCAACCAAAGCATGTGCTGGGGTCCGGAGGGTTTGCGGTCGTGTACCGGGCCTCGTATCAAGGCACGGAGGTTGCGGTCAAGGAGCCTCATAATCCTTGCGATCTTGAAGGCAGCAAGCTGATGCGGAAAGCATTCTTCAGAGAGGCCAACAACCTCTTCAGAATACATCATCGCAACGTGATAGAGCTGGTCGGAGCCATGGTCGTGGACGAGGAAGGGAACCCTTGCTTCCTGCTGGTCACCGAGCTACTGCGGCGACCCCTCACCGAGTACATCGAGGAGACGATGAAGCCAGCGAGTGAGAGCGAGCGAAGAGCGCGGGGCCACGTGGTGATGCTTGGACTGGCGGAGGGTCTGGCGTACCTGCACTCTATGCGCATCATCCATAGGGACATCAAGCCCCAGAACATCATGCTTGACGACAAGGACATCCCAAAACTCATCGACCTGGGGCTTTCGAAGGAGAAACAATCCATGGTTGCACCAGTGCACAGTGCAGGGGGAGGCACTCTAGATTGGATGTCGCCAGAGAAGCGACGAGGCGAGCCCTCAACAACCGCATCTGACGTGTACGCCCTCGGGCTGGTGATGATGAATGTGATGACGCTTGAGACGCCGCCGGAGAGCCAGGAGGAGCGCGAGAAGCTGCTCAAGGAAACGAGTGACAAGGGAGTGAGCGGGCAGGTGTCGCTATGGTGCATACACGAGGACCCGTCGAGGAGGCCGACGGCGGCTACTGTTGCGATGAGCTTGACGATGGACCGAGATCTATGCGGGGGAGGGGAAGTGCTGACCGGTGAGTCAATCAATGTCTTTGTTATTTTGATGATGGTTTTGCTTGGGGGATCTTATTTAACCATTTCTAACAGGGGATTGTTTTGAGGGAAACAACAACCGATGTGATGATGATGAGATGCTTTTGTTGTGGAAAGAGGCGAAAACTCTTTCGGGTCATACCGATGTTGTCAACTGCGTTTCATGGTCGGGAGACGGGAAAATGATTGCTTCAGTGTCAGGGGATAAGACCTTGAGAATATGGGAGGCGAGCAGCGGCAGGCAAATCAGTTGTCTTGAAGGACATACAGACATAATCTGGTTCGTTTCTTGGTCAGGCCAAGGGGGACTGATTGCGACTGCATCATCTGACAAGACTGTGAGAATATGGAACCCAGTTTCTGGTAAGGAACTTCGAATTCTCAGACACAAGAATCGAGTTAACTGTGTCTCGTGGTCTGGAGATGGAAAAAAGATTGTCTCCGGATGTTCAGACCACAAAGTGAGGATATGGGACGCAACTTTTGGATATGAAATCAAATGTTGTAAAGGGCATAGCCAGTTTGTCAGGTGCGTGGTATTTTCAAGCGATGGAAAGTTGGTCGTGTCGGGATCGATGGACAAGACCTTGAGGATGTGGGATGCGGTCACTGGCAAGGAAGTTCGATGCTGGAAGGCACACTCAAAGGGTATTAATAGTTTGTCGTTCTCACCAGATGGGAGCAAGATTGCATCCACTTCGTCAGACAACACAGTGAAGGTCTGGGATGTTAGCAATGGAGATCAAGTACATTGTTTCGCAGGACACGAGGAAAAGGTTTTGTCAGCTTGTTGGTCAGCAGACGGTGGACTGATCGCTTCGGGTTCGTCCGACAAGACGGTACGCTTGTGGGATGCGAGCAATGGACGAGCAATCCGATACCTGAAAGGACATACTTGGACTGTAGGAAGCGTTTCCTTCTCACAGAACAACATGATGATTGCCTCCGGTTCATCCGACAAGACCGTGAGAATTTGGGAAGCGACAGTATGGGTGCAGAGCAAACGCATGCGACTCAAGTGATGATGAATAGGGGAAAATAAGTTAGTGAAGATGAAATGATTGCTGAGAGTGATTGTAATGTTCTGAGTCAGAAACCCTCCAGCAGTGCTAGTCCGACCGCATGTGCCCTTCGCCCCCCCCTTCGCCCACCGCGTCTCGGGCACGGGGCTGGACGCCGCTTAGCTCAAGAACGTAATCGGCACGTCGCATCTGGCCTCGCAGGTGGCGATCAACGTGTCGGAGTACCAGGGAGTGGCGGGCGGGGCCGACCCGCGCTACAACTCGGTTGTCTGGTCGTCCGTGAAGAAGTAGGTGCTGTAGGTGCAGCGGAAGGTGCAGGCCATCGGCTGCAGGGTGAGGTGGACCGTGGCCGTCTGCAGTCATCGGTGGGCACGACGCAGCCAAGTACCTCGAGTGCATCCGGCGGGCGGAGGCGATGGGCGACCGCCGCATCGACAGCATCCCGTGCGAGAACCACTACACCGCCTGCTTCGACTCGCTCGCTATTTACTTCTAGCGAAGTAAATACATTGGAAACGTGAGGAGACAAACTTTTATAAATCAATCTAAAATTTCAATGATTTTTACGAACACCCAAAAAATACATTTATTCCTCTTTATTTTCCTTACCGAATCCCTATTATATTTTATTCAATTAAAATAATAGCTGCGCATTGGTGCGGATCCGATCATCACACAAAATAACCAAAAACAAACGAGCGCACACACGGAGTGTGCCAGAGCAAACATAATATCAATGAAAATTATGAATCCTTCAAGGATCATATAACAAAAGAGGCAAAGGGGCAGGTGAATTGAATTTCACCCTTTGCCAAAATTCACCCTTTGCACACACACACGGCTTAATAATTCTCATCTTTATTTTTTTCGCCTCTATAACATGCATAATTTATTTAGGCAAAGGGGCAAAGGGTGAAATCGTTATTTTCATATTCTATTCTATATACCCATAAAGTAAACAAAATTTTATATTATCCTAAAATTTGAATTTCACCCTTTGCCCCTTTGCCTAACGTCTATATATCCTCCTTTTACTCATCTTTTACCCTTGTACCCAGCTAAAACATGGCGAAGGGTCCCCTTTGCCACCCCTTTGCCACCCCTTTGCCACCCTTTGCCACCCTTCGCCTACCTCCTTTTTATTAAAACCCCTTTATCATTACCATTATTATACTAAATTATATTCTTTATTTTATTATTATCTATCTTTCTTTATTATAAATGTCATGTGACAATAGATATCAAAATTTATATCAATAGGCAGCACAAACAGGACAACTTTACAACCTGAAATAAATCAAATCAATGCCGATATCAATATCCTTTATTCTAATGTCGATGTGCTCAATGATGAGACAAATTTACTATTTAATCGATATGAGACGATCGAAGCGCTTGCAATTGATACATCCAATAACCTAATATCAACATCTAATCAATTATATGAAGGTATCGAAGACAATTCGAATGAGATCAATTTTATTCTGCGCCGCATTAATGATCTATCACAGACCGAAGAAACAGTCATCATGAACCAAATGAGAATGTTGATCTATTTGAAATATGATCTTGATCTTGAAAAATCAACAATTAAATTCGCTTTGGAAAATGGGAGCTTAATATCGATTCAATACATCAAAAATAAATTAGATGAATTAGCAGGAGCTGACCAAGCCGAGGATGCAGAGGATGCAGCAACAGACGCAGCACAGGCAGGGGCCGATGCTGTCAAGCAGCTACTAGGGAAGCAGTTATTGCTTTGATGCGATATCTTCAAGATATAGATGATCAATTGAAAGTTCAAGATGATGTCATTAAGGGTTATTCAAGAGACCTTATAGATGGTGAAAATTTAGGCTTTGGATCTAATCTGAATTTTATATATGATTTAGAAATTGTGACATTGCCTAATGGCTGCAATGTCAATAAATGGACAACTCGACTTTTAGGCGAACAGATCTTAACATTAGGCGAAGAATTGACAGATAATATTCGCGCATTCTTTTGTTTCTTAGCTCTCGATATTCTGGGTCATTTGTGTATTTTTGTTTGATATATTCATTTATTCTCTTGCATTCTTTATCGTGAAATTCTTTATCAGTTGCAATCTTCTTTTTATAGTGCAGTGCTTGTGGGGTTGGCATTGTTTTCGAAAGAAACAAATTCACTTTAATATAAAGTAAGAAAGTTTTTATCTATTTACTTTATATATATTAAAAAACAATCAAATCATTTTTATATAAATTAGATTATCCGGCTCTTCCATGTGTTACCTTCTTTGTATAGTTGGTATGTTGCCATGCTTGCGGCTGTAGGCTTGGCAGTGCCACCGGTTGAAATGATGTCATTTAATCTTTTTATTATCTTTCGAGCTGTTATTTTGTCCTTATTATCTTCGTATTGCTGTTTTTTCTTATCTAATATATCGGCTTTCTTCTTATCATAATATTTCTTCTAGCGCTCTCAGTGCTGAGGTGATCCTCCTCCTCGGAAAGCTCCGCGATGTGCTTCCTGCGGAGGAAGTCCTTGGCGCAGTCGCGGATGGGGAAGACGCGCTCGACGTACGGGTCGGGCTTGATCAGGCCCTCCTGCTCGAACTCCTCCGCGATGGCTAGCCGGAAGATGCTGCAGCAGGCGCCCGCGGAGGACGCCACCAAGCCTTTCCTGGGTCGTCAATTTGTTGATCACGAGTGTAATCGTCTGATAAAGAAAATTGCTGACTAAATGGAAACGAAAGAGTAAACATGGTCCAAAATAGATGCACAGTCCAGCCTCAAAGGAACTTCTTAATGTCCGGTTGAGCCGGCTCAACCGCAAATCTCTTTCCAGTCCAACACTATTCGAGGTGTAAGGTAGATGGACAAACATAAATACATTGGTAGTTTTTTGAGAGGTTCAATGCTTGTTCACAAAAAACATCTTTCGACCCAATACCACGATGCAGACAAGATTTCTTCCTCCTCAGGTTCCTACCCCTACCCCTACCCCTACCCCTACCCCTTCCCTTTCCCCTTCTTCTGCCCCTGCCCCTGCCCCTGCCCCTGCTCTTGTACCTGCTTTTGCTGAGAGAGCTCATCATTAATTTCCTGGATGGAACTGAAAAGTCCGATCTTACACGTGTACATAATGATACAATAGTGTTGATATAATTTCAATCTTTAAATCCGATTACAAACTCTTACACTCCCTTCCTCTCTCCCTCTACCCCTCCCGTCTCCTCTGTCTTCCTTCCCCTCCCGTCCCTTCCTTCCTCCTCTCTTTCCCCTCCCGTCTCTTCCTCCCGCACGCATCCTCCACTCTCTGCGCATTTCACACGTCTTGCCCCATCCTAGCCTGCATCGACGCCAGCAGCGCAAGTGAAGGGTTCGTCGACGAGCAAACAGTGCGCTGAGCTCTAGATCGCAGCTTCGCTCGGTCTCCTATCCTCTCCACTCCCACCTCCTTCAGCTCCTGCTCGTTCATCGCCGCCAGTGCCTCGACATCGATCTTCTCTTCCTCAAACTTGGGCAGCAGCCTCCAGCCCGAGCTCCTTCAGCCAGGACTGGATCTTCTTCCTCGACGCCTCCTCCTCCCGTGCGCGCGATCCACCCACGGGCTGGTATGGCTCGTTATGCATCATCGAGAAGAGGAAGTTGTTAGCGATCTTCCGCTGCTTCCTCATCCTCTTCTCTTCCAGGTTGCAACTCTCGTCAAGGTCATGGTTGTGCTCAGGCATGACGCGCAGAACGACCCAACCGGCGACCTCTCCCTCCACCTCGCTCACGTACTCGCACACCATCTCCCACTTGCAACAAGGCTTGTCGTACGCATGCCCCATCCCGTGCGTGCAGATATACTTCTTCTGCGTCCCCTTGAACCCTGTTGCCTTCATCCTCGTCTCGGTCACTCGCCATGGCCCCAGCGGATAGTCCTTGGGAAGGTTTGCTGGGATGTCGTACGTGCGGCAAAGCTGCAGGATCTGCCAGCTCCTCTTCGCTTCCGGCGGTGACATGGTTGTGTTCCTCATCGACTTACCCGCCCTCAGGTCCGAGCGATGGTCAGCTTGCCGCAGCCTTGAGCCTGCATGGTCTCTGCTCGCCTCCTGCGGCTGCTCCTGCACAGCGCCTTTGCCATGATCTGCTCTCCTGGGAGGATCTTCATGACGAGTCTCCTCTGCCCCACCGTCGGCATGAGGCACGGAGCAGCGATCGCGGTTGTTTTTCTCCTGCTCTTCTGCGATATGGTCCAGCATATCAGCGCTGGAGTCTGAGAGAACTTCTCGGTTGCCAGTGAAGCCATCGTCATGATCGTCTTCATGAATCACCGCTGCCATGTTCGCTCCTGTCTCCGTCATCTCTCAGTGCCTCCACCTCAGACCACTGCTGGTTGTCGGCATGAGGATCTTGAACTGCCCTCAATTGGGGAGAGGGAATGTTTTTAGTCAAACTGGGCTTTGAAGCGAGACAGTTAAATACTGATATCCAATCGTTCATAGTGGTTTCCAACTGCCCTTGTGCTGAGAGGAGTTCGTACTAGATTTTCGGCCTAGACCCTTCAGTTTCAAATTTCCCCTGTCCTGTTTCAATCCTCCCCCTGCTGGTTTCGCCGGCTGAACAGTTCCCGGCTGCCAGCCCAATGGCCGGCAGCGGCAGCTGAAAATGCAGACAGCGCCGTCCTGACGCGACGACACCCTCTGTTGTCCACTACGTGTGATCCTCCCCCTCCCTCTTCTCCCCTGTCGTGTACTCCCTTACTAGAAACGAAGCCTGTCGAACCCTCTTCTGCCAACTTCGCCTATCCCCATCTTTCCATACCTCAACTCAGACACGTATCTTCTCTCCCATTGGACCTTCGAGTACTCTTATCCCCCTCCTCGTCTCGAGTCCTTATCTTCAGATCTCAACGAGTTGCATCCAGCCATCACCATGGCAGAGTGTGTACTGGAGATGGTGCAATCTATTCTCGTTAGCATGTGGAATGAAGCACGTATGGTGATGACCAATCAGGAGCAGCTGCAGAGCCTGGCTTCGGATGTGAAGGATGTCATGAGCCCGCTCCTCGAGCTTTTGCGTCGAAGCCTTCGCATAGATCAAGAGCAGCAGGTAGGCTTCGCCCTCAACCGTGTCTACTTCACCCTGTCGTCGGTGCTCGCATTCATCAAGATGAAGGCGGGGGGTCGATCAGAGTCGTCTGTGACGCTGGAGGGCAAACTAGATGCCGAGCTTGGCGGAAAGCGAGCGGAGATGTACTTCGCGGTAGAAGCCTTGATGCAGGCCCTGCAGGGCGAAGGCGGCACGGCCATGAGCGAAGCAGGGGACGGGAAGCAAGACGAGGTGGTAACCAGCAAGCCAGCATACAGGAGGATGAAGGAGGCAGCCGAGCAGCTGGCAGCTGAAGCCGACATCTTCTCTTCCTCAGAGGCTGAGGAGAGCGACGGGACGCGCCATCCATGGTGTCTGAATCCCTTGGAGCTGCAGGTTGAGCGAAACAGTCGTGGCAAACCAAAGCATGTGCTGGGGTCCGGAGGGTTTGCGGTCGTGTACCGGGCCTCGTATCAAGGCACGGAGGTTGCGGTCAAGGAGCCTCATAATCCTTGCGATCTTGAAGGCAGCAAGCTGATGCGGAAAGCATTCTTCAGAGAGGCCAACAACCTCTTCAGAATACATCATCGCAACGTGATAGAGCTGGTCGGAGCCATGGTCGTGGACGAGGAAGGGAACCCTTGCTTCCTGCTGGTCACCGAGCTACTGCGGCGACCCCTCACCGAGTACATCGAGGAGACGATGAAGCCAGCGAGTGAGAGCGAGCGAAGAGCGCGGGGCCACGTGGTGATGCTTGGACTGGCGGAGGGTCTGGCGTACCTGCACTCTATGCGCATCATCCATAGGGACATAACTCCCCAGAACATCATGCTTGACGACAAGGACATCCCAAAACTCATCGACCTGGGGCTTTCGAAGGATAGAAAGGTTGCAAATCAGGCTCCCACCACAAAGATTGCAGGTACACTAGATTGGATGTCGCCGGAGAAGCGACGAGGCGAGCCCTCAACAACCGCATCTGACGTGTACGCCCTCGGGCTGGTGATGATGAATGTGATGACGCTTGAGACGCCGCCGAAGAGCCAGGAGGAGCGCGAGAAGCTGCTCAAGGAAACGAGTGACAAGGGAGTGAGCGGGCAGGTGTCGCTATGGTGCATACACGAGGACCCGTCGAGGAGGCCGACGGCGGCTACTGTTGCAATGAGCTTGACGATGGACCGAGATCTATGCGGGGGGGGGGAAGTGCTGACAGGTGAGTCGAAGGTGTAAATAAGGAAGGATTGTTTTGTAAGAGACTTGTATAGGAGGCGATCGGCAAGTATTAGATACCACCGATGACGAAGAAACCATTGTTCAATACAAACTGATCAGCTGTTCAAGTCAGTATGATGTCAACATCAGTAATGTTTCATTGTCAGGCGATGCGAAGTTTTTTGCTTCGATATTGTCGCAGGGAAATGTTATCTTGGTATTTGAGGCAATCAGCGGCAGGCAAATCAGTTGTCTTGAAGGACATACAGACAAAGTGAACAGTTCATCATGGTTGTCGTGTGGAAGTAGGATAGTGTCAGGATCCTTGGACGGGACTGTGAGGGTGTGGGAGGCGAGCAGTGGTAATCAGATTTGTTGCTGTCAGGGAGATTTCACATGGGTTTTGTTTGTTTCGTCTTCAAGGGACGGGCAAATGATCGCTTCAGGATGCTCAGACGGGACTGTGAGGGTGTGGGAGGCAAGCAGCGGTAATGAAATCAGCTGCTGTCAGGGACACTCCGGCAGTGTCACTTGTGCTTCATGGTCTCCTGATGGAAAGTTGATTGCATCAGGGTCCTCGGACGGGACTGCAAGGGTGTGGGAGGCGAGCAGCGGTAATGAGATCAGCTGCTGTCAGGGACACACAGGAATAATTGAAAGTGTTGCTTGGTTAGGCAGTGGAAAGATGATAGCATCAGAATCCTTTGATGGGACTGTGCGGGTGTGGGAGGCGAGCAGCGGGAGGCAAATCAGTTGCCTAAACGATGACAACGGATATACGAAGAGCATCGCTTTTGTGCAGAGTTCAGAATTGATAGTTTTTGGATCCTGGGACGGGACTGTGAGGGTGTGGGAGGCAAGCAGCGGTAATCAGATTTGTTGCTGTCAGGGGCATGAAGGAGCAGTGAATAGTGTCAGCCTTTCAGAAGACGGGAAGTTGATAGCATCAGGGTCCACGGACGGGACTGTGAGGGTGTGGGAGGCGAGCAGCGGTAATCAGATTTGTTGCTGTCAGGGACATGTAGGAGCGGTGAATAGTGTCAGCCTTTCAGAAGACGGGAAGTTGATAGCATCAGGGTCCACGGACGGGACTGTGAGGGTGTGGCAAGAAAGCTCATTTGTCCTAAAACCATGTAGAAGACCAAAACGGCTGAAGTTCAGATGACGAGCAACGATGGATCAAAACATTGACATCGTGTACGTCTAAGATCCAATGAACATTGCAGGTATCAAAACATCTGCATATGATTGAATGGGTGAGGGATCAAGAGGGCTTTTCTCAGTGCCTGGCAGCCCAGGCGAGGTCGAGGGAGATATAAGGGGGAAGGAAACCTTTGCTGGCCGCCATCAGCTCAAACGCGAGGGCCCCGAAATGGCTGCTGAAAGTCCCGATGAAGTAATCGCAGGAGGAGAGCAGGAAGAGATCAAGGATGGCCGTCTCCCCCGCTGCCCCCGCGTCGAGCAGGCCGTGCCTGATTCTGTCCTCCACGTACCAGTTCGAAGAGAGCATGGAAACATCCAGCTCGCTGCGGATGACATCCACGTCGAGCTTCGAGGAAATCTCCTTGATAGCCTCCTCGTCGTCACTTGCGATGAACACCTGAAGCTGCTTCAGTCTCTTCCTCGTCTCATCTAGCAAGCTCAACCTGCGTCGCTCCGAACTTGTCGATCATCGTCTGTATGCTCTCCACGAAGCGGGAGGATGGTTGGCAGGGAGTTCGATACCCCACAGAGGCTTCGCAAGCGTCTCCTCGCCTTATGTGAACCCCTATCACCCTCCCCTTAGCCCCGAACCCGATCCTGTTCTTGAGCATGCGGAGCTCGGCCTGCCTGCTCGGCCAGAGCTGCAGCAGGTGGAGGAGGACATGCGAGCGATACCAGAAGCTTCCCTGGTGAGGAGGGAGCAGCTCGCTGGGGACGAGAATGCCGATGTTAGTGTTGAGGTTTCCCGTCTCCTCCATGGAGAGCCCAGCTCGCTTGATGTGCCCGCGCGTCAGCTGCTTTGCGTGTATCTCCTCTATGCTCTGAGGGGCGTCAGAGGTAGAAACACAGGAAGGAGCTCAACCTTGAACGAGCTGCAGTTGGTCAGTGGGAGGAAGTAGCACTCGAGGCTAGCTTGCCCGCAGTCTGCATGCTTCATCCATGGCCAGTCCTCCTGGTGAAGCACTAGGGTCCGCCTGGACATCAACGCTTCTGTGACACCAGCCACGAGGAACTGTATCATGATCCCGATCCCCTGCAAGGGAACGCGCAGCCGAAAGGCTTCACCGCATGCTGAGGGAAACTGCACTCGCGCGATCTGCATGCTGGGTCAGGAGAGGAGCTGCTGAGGTTGCGGCTGCTGCACCTGACGGGATAGAGCAGCCGCACCGACAGAGAAGGAGCTTGCGGCCTTGCACGGGTGGCTCGAAGGGTCTGTAGGAGGAAGGTACCTGGAGGTAGCAATGTCAGCTTGTCAACCACGGCGAGCTCTTGTGCAGACCTTGTTTCCTTCAAGATGTTGTGATAACATGTTTCTCCAAACCAATCTCTCTCACATTCACACTGTCCCTCCACGCACCTCCCATGACCTGAGCATGTCTGATTCTCCTCCTCCGAGCAGCTTTGAGACTTCTCAAAACATTTCAACCCAACCTTCGGCCGCGAGCAGGCGCTCTGACCCTGTGGAGCTGCCGGGTCGAATGAGTTGTTAACAAAGAATATTTGAGACGTTGTTTGTAAAACGTTTCCTTGAACGTCCTTGAGATGAACTACTAGCGTGTGTCTCCCCTCATCAAGATCCAGAGGAATCGCAATCTTCTTCGATCTTCGGTAGTCCCCGAGCACAACTGAGTCAACCTCAACTACCAGCGAGTACGGTCGTCTTTGAAAGATTGTGTTCCGGGAGTACATCAGGTCCATCGCCTCTTCCAGATCCAGCTGCATCTCCCTATCCGTGATTCTTGCCTCCACAAATCTCGGCATGTTCCTGCCGAAGGTGAAGTCCGGGGGAGGATGCTGCACAAGGACGGACATGAACGACCGCAGCCAATCGTTCCATCGCTCTCCTCCCACCTCCTCCCCATCGAAAACCGCCCCGTCCTCGTTGATTCGCACGAAGAAGTTGAGCTCAGCGACTGGGCCTTGAAAGACTCCGTTGACGTTGGTCGACACCTTGAGCACGTGCGGCCCTTCCTCCAGCCCGGGTATCCTTGGCGTCAGGTCTGAGCTGATAGGAAGGTGAATGTGCCGGTCCCAGTCAATCTCAATGTCGATATCGCCCTGTGCTGATTCATCTGCCAACGAGAATGCGAGCTGCACGTCATCAGGATGCTCGAAGACGAAGTTCGGAGGCGGGAAACTCAGCTCCACCTTGAAGCCAGACTGCATTCTCTCGTCGTCGCTGCTCACTAGCGCACATGTTATCAGTAGACCAGCCAGGATGCTGAGACTCGTGCTCGGACGGGGCAGCCTCCTGCTCATCATCGCAGACCATCCAGGAGCTTTAACCTGCACATCTGTGGAGCAGTATCAACAATGCGTGAATGCCCGACCAATTCCGTCATATTGACCTTGAGCACTCCTGCTCCCTCCCTCCTGCTAAAGTTCTTCCCTGTCCTTCCCATTACATTCATGTATCCTCCTCCCCTCTTCACTAGTTTACTCCCCTGCCCTGCCCTGCCCTGCCCTGCCCTGTCCTGTCCTGCCCTGCCCTGCCCTGTCCTGTACCCTCCTCGCTACTCCACTCGCTCCTTCATTTCATTCTCATTCATTTTCCCAGTCGGGGCAGGCGGGGAGGCTCATTTTCGTGCTCGCCTCAGAGTGACGTAACGGAAGGGGGTGAGCGAAACATGCTGCTGAGGGGTGCTTGAGAAGAGAGAGCAGAGAGAGCAGAGAGAGCAGGGAGAGCAGAGAGAGCAGAGAGAGCAGGGAGAGCAGGGAGAGCAGAGAGAGAAGAGAGAGCAGGGAGAGCAGGAGATTGATAACAATGCTTGGAACAAGCAATGCAGTGAATGGTTTGAGGTGAAACAGAAACAGTTGTATACCAGCAAGACCTGGATAGACCGTGAGAGCGGTACTGCAACAAGATATGAGCATAGCGAGGAAGCTCCCGACGGAGAGTATCGACTTCTCATCTCCATCAAAACCAACCGCAAGCTCGTCCTCTCCTCAGCGGCAATACAACCTGGAGGGAAGAGTGAAGGGGCTGGAGGAAGCAGAACTAGCAGCATGGCTCCCCTACGCGCACCTGCGGTCACCTCCTTCGGTCGACAAGGTTGCAGCCGAGCAGAGCAAACCCTTGAAGGATGTTGAGGCAGACGGCGGGGAGACAAAGGAAGAGAAAGCGAGCGGGAAGCACGTGAAACCATGGTTACTGGACACCATGACCAACAGAGAGGGACTGCCTGACCTGCTGCTGGACGACAGCCGTTACATCGCTGCTCCCAACTGGAAGAGAGCTGAACTCCTGAAAGAGCTTGCGATCCATGGGGAGCGGGGAGACGCCAAGTTGATCGACGTGGGCAAGCACTTCCTCCATGACCCGGAGGGCATGGTCCGTGCCGCAGCCCTGCGCCTGCTGGCCAAGGTGACGACTCGAGGAGACAAGTCGGTGGTGCATGACGTGCTGAGGCTGACCAAAGATGCGGCGAGCAAGGTGAGGATGGAGGCGTGCAACACGATCAGGGAGATAGGGAGCAGGGGAACTCCTGCTTCCAGCATCGCGGTACCTACGGGGACAGCGGCAGACGTGAAGCTCTTGAACAGAGACGAAGCCTCGATCAAGGCTCTGATGCCGCTAGTGGATGACGACATGGGATACGTGCGAGTGGCAGCCGTTGAGGCGCTTGACGTCATCAACAGCGGGTGGCAGAGGTTCGAGTTCAACGAGAACCGACGAGACGATGCGAAGATGCTGTCGCAGCGCCGGCAGCCTCCTGTTCCCAGCCCTGTCAAAGCTAAAGTGCCAGAGCTCGAGGACGTCCTGCAGCGAAAGTCGTTCCTGCCGGATGTGCAAGCAGGGGCAGCGAAGAAGCTCGACTTCGGCTCGAGGAAGGCAGCTGGGCCTGAGCAGGGGGCGGGGAGGAGGGCTGGGAGGTCTACGCTGGCGGGGTACAAGTATTCCTGGTACAACGACGAGCTGAGGCAGGAGCGGAGCGTGAAGCTGTTCGAGGAGGCGCAGGAGAAGGCAAGCTTGCAGCGCAAACACACGGTGCACGAGGTGACGGAGCCTGGATCGAGGAGCGTGACGACCGAGTGGATGGGGATCGAGTGGGTGGATCGAACGAAGAGGGAGTACTTCGGGAAGGTGATCCATCCTCTGGGAGCTGGAGTAGACCCAACGCGCGATGTCGTACCGGCGCCATACAACGCTGGGTACAACGGCTTCACGACGCCGCTGGGGTACAACTACATGTGAGGGAGCGACGCGTGCTGCTTGCTCTGCTGTTCTTTCTTAGTAGTTGTAATTGTAATTCGATTCTCGGAGCGGAGGAGCACGGAAAGACCCTTGAGACCTGCTGGACCTGACGGAAGAAGTGACAGGGTCATGGCAAAGTTGCGATGAAGGGAGGAGGGAGGACGAGGTAGGGGGGCATGGCAGGAGGAGAGGAGGGCAGGAGGAAGCATGGGACAGGGACCTTTCTCTTTCTCTGCTGCTGCCTCGCTCTTGCTCCATGAGTATTCTGAGTGAAGGATGAGCAACGTGGTAGGAAAAGGACGCCTGTCACCTGACGATGTACATGAAGATGTTCACCACGTCCAAGTAGAGCTGGAGGGAGGATGAGACTCGCGATCGGTCAGCCAGCATCGACCTGTAGGGCGTGATGGACAGGGTCGAAGTCCGGCGCTCGAGTCCCCCATGGTGTGATGCGAATCTCCTGAAGGATGGGATGAGAGGAGTGGAGACAGCGAGGAAGTCTACCGATCCCGGAAGCTTCGAAGCCTCCTTCACCACCTGCCTGCTCCATCAGACCGAGCGAGAGGGCAGAGGCGTGTTGCCTTTGCTGTGTCGTACAACAAGTAGCCGCTGAAGAGAGCCGCACCAAAGTAGGAAAATCCTACATGCTCACCGAATCAATAGGGAGAGAGGAAGAGAGAGGAGGAGTGGAAGAGATAGGGAGAGGGAGGGAGAGGGAGGAGGAGAAGGAGGGAGGGAGGGAGGGAGACGTTGGAGGGAGTCAGCAAGAAGAGAGAAAGCAAGGAGGGAGGGTTCAGGGTTTACGTTTCGAAGTGAAGGAAGAGAAAGAGAAGGACAAGGACGGGGAAAAGAGGATAAAGGACCAGGAGGAGGACAAGGAGGAGGACAAGGATGAGGTTGAAGAGGAGGAGGAGATCACCAATATGCATGACTGATGAAGTTCGCCATATCATGTTGATAAGACTTGCTCCAATGAGCAAACCTGCAACCAGTCAACACCTTGCAAGAAAGGACGCGGCTGGTTACCAAGACCTCCCCCGAGAAACCCTCCTATCCAAAGGAAGTTTGTGGACGGTGATGCCGCAACGACGCAAGATATGGCTGCAATGCTCTCATGCACAGGAGCAGCAGCAATGCTTGTCACCCGCGAAGTCAGCAGCTGTCAGAACAGCAGCTTGCACAAGAACGTCGAGGTAGCCGTGCTGTGCGCATATCAGTCTGATCACAAGGTCGATGCCAAACCTGAGCGAAGTTGAGAAGCAGAACAGACAGCAGCACTCCTTGCACTGCTGCAAACCCGTAGAAATGCAGAATCTTCTCTGTCCTGCTCAGAGACTTACGGTGATTGATTAATCGTTCACGTGCCTTCACCTGTCGTTGTCATAATCGAGCGCGCTCATCTTGTACACGATGGCAACACCCATGAGACTGATCTGCGAAGATGTGAGAAGAAGCTAACAGAGCCCTTGGAGGTTCTCGAGATGTCAACTCACCAGCATCGGGGCCCATGAATGCATTGGAACTAACCCAAGCTTCCACAACAGGAAGGCTGTGCCCGACCAGATGATCGTACTAAGGGCGAAGTGTGTGTACGTTGTTCTTATCCTCGACCTCGTCAACTTTGACCAATCTACATCAAGACAAGCTCAGTGACTTCAAACCTGTCTCAGTCTTCACCTTTTGTCCCCTTCACCACGTTTCCTGCCACCTGTTTGGCATCTTAGCCAAGGATCGCAGGGGATTAGGACCTGTCGCCTACCATGAGAGCCGCTATGCCGGCCATTGGTGCATACAGACCAAGGGCTGGACTAACTCCAGACATCTGAGGCAAGCTGAACAAGAGAAGCACGTATCACCCTTGTTCACAAACACCTTCCATGTTCCAAACCCGAGGGTTGAGGGGAGAGGCCTTCCACCCATGGGACCGTTGACAAGTCCTCCCCTCATACGCAAGCACCTGATACGATTATAACCCTGATCAAAACAACCCTACGTTCTCCCATGTTCATCCGCATCACCTTCCATGTACTTGTTCCTCCCGCTCGTACGAGAGCCAGTGTTTTGTCGAGCTGACCTCTCCCGCATGTTTCATCGTGAGCACATTCATCTGATCAGATCGCTCATGCTGGTTTCTCTGCATGTCCACAGCCATCATTCGCAGCCCCTCTCCCCTCAGCGCCATCGTCGCCACCGCCAACACACACAGTCGTCGGCCTGCCATAGCGCAATCCTCAGACAAGCCCTCGTCCCCACCCCGACGTAAAAAGAAGAATGCTATAACACAAGGCCTGTAGTCAAGATAATACTACTGATTTCGACCTCTGTAGTCAAATTGTAACTGATATAATCAATGTCATCGGCCTTGTATGAAAAATCTGACGCCATGCGCTTGCTGGTTCTGGCGATGATGGCGGCGTCGGCGTCGGCATGGCTGGCTCCTTCACTCGCTCCACCTGGCACCAGTGCCTTATCACTTCCTTCATGCACTTCCTCCTCGAGCCCCTCTTCCCTGCTCTGTACCTCTAACAGAGCCTCGACGTTGCCCACCCTGGCCCCGCGTGTACGATCCCGATCAGGATCATTGGCGCTGCGCTCGCACGAAGGAGGAAGTGAGCCTGCCGTGGGTCGTAGGCAAGCAAACTTCATGCTGGGAGCGATTCTCCTTGCGGGATTCGCCCCAGCTGCTGGCGCAAAGAGTTCAACAGAGCTCGAGCGCGAGGTGGCTTCGCTTGAGAAGGAGGTTAACAGTGTGTTTGTGTCCCTGGCCTCGCTGATGCTCCTGGTCTAGGTTGAGGCCTCCTTCAAAGAAGCCGTCGGTGTGTCCGCCAAGGGCAAGTCCTCCTTCCAGAAAGCGCTCAAGGAAGGAGAGTCCATCAAGAGCTTGTTCGAGGAGCTCAAGTCACTTTCGGAGAAAGTGGCTGGGAGCTTCAACGAACTGAAGGATCTTGGACAGTCTGTAGCAGAGAAGCTAAGTGATGAAGAAGAGGCGCTGGGCGAGGCAGCTGTGCAGGCTTACGAGCAAGCTGAAGAGGCAAGCGCAGTCAGGAAGAACAGCGAGAAAACAGCAGAGCTGTTCGCCAAGGGCGACAAGTTGCGAAGCGAAGTGAGGGTGAAGGTTCAGAAGCAGAAGGACTGGCAGAAGAGTCTTGAGGAACTGAAGAAGGCCGAGAGCTTGTTTCAAACGTCTCTCAAGACCAACCAGAAAGCTGTGACCGACATCAAGAGCGCCATGGCAAACGTCTCGCTGGCCTCAGCGTCTTTCACCAAGGCTGTTTCAGAGATGAACAACGTGAAGCTCTTCAATGAGGCAGGAAGCCTTCCCAACGCTCAGTCTTCCCTCGCAACCATCAAGAATGCTGTCGAGCTCAACAAGAAGGCTTCCAACCTCGCCAAACAATCAGTGGGGGACAGTCAGCGAGCCAACAAGGTGTTGAATGACGCCATGAAGATCGCCGTCGAATCCGGAAAAGTAGGGCAGGAGGCGCTGAACAGCCTGACGAAGGGCAACAGCAAGCTCAAGGAGAAGTCGTCGAACAAGCTGAAGGATGCTCTTGCCATAGCTCAGGCTTTTGCTTCCAAGGCAATTCTTACCAGGACCTTGTCGAGAAACTGACCGTACTCCTGCAGTCTGCTGAGGCTCAGAAAAGGACCACTGCTTTCCTTGAGACCCTAAAAGATAGTGAGAAGAATGTGATGGAGGCTATGAACAAGGTTGGAATGTTTGCACTCTTGCAGAAAGTTTCAACTCACTGTCTTGTCACGACAGTACGCGCAAGCTGAGAAGTCAGGAATCAAGGCAGACAAGGTGTATGAGATGGTCAAGATTGAGGCACAAAAGGAGCAGGACGAGATCGCCAAGTACAGGAAGAACCGAAGGATGGAGACCAAGAAAGCTGCTGAGATGACGGCAGACACGTCTCCTCCCCCCCGCCAACCATCCAAGGCAGCACCAGGTGGAAGACAAACGACTGCTTGTGACCTCCCTCTGACTCTCCCCAGCTCCCGTCAAGAAGGAGTCTCCCTCCCCGCCGCAGGTTAAGCCGTCGGTGACTCTTCCCAGCACGGACTCGGTGAGGTCCACTCTATGCACAGACCCTCACTGACTGGGCCCAGCTGAAGATTGAAGCTCCTGCTCCTCCTCCCGCCCCCAAGGCTCCCAAGCTGAAGAAGCTTGCGGAACCAGCGGCTGCTCCGGTGAGCTCGTCGCGATGATTCTAATGCCTGGTCACGCGACTGTCACGTGCAGGAAACGTCGGACGCTCCAGCCCTGAAGCCCAAGGCGACTGTGAAGGAGCCAGCCAGGGAGTCAGCTGGACCCGCGCTGACGTTGGAGTAGAGGACTTGATGATATGACTGAACTTATAAACATGTAAGACGCGTACAGCCGGGCTGGTCGGAGTAGAGAACTTGATGTGATTGAAACATCCTATACGGTCGCCCCCCGATCATCGGACGTCGGAGCCTCCGGGACGGCCTGCTCGGAGGTCTCGGCACAGCCGTAGCCACTCGGAGCAGCAACTTGGAGCAGCACTTGGAGCTGACTTGGAGCAGTGACTTGCAGCAGCTTGGAGCAGCAGAGCTTCAGAGAGCTTGGAGTGCAGTTCAGTGGAGTGACCAGTGGAGCTGAGTGGCTGCTGAGTGGAGTGACTACCAATTCGGGTCTACCGACATTCGCGGTACACACCAACTAGGGTTCTCTATCGGGAGTTGACGAGGCGGGGGGGCGCAATGCGGGTCCTGACATGGCTGCTCTGCTGCCTCCTCGCCGCTGAAGCGCTGGACTACAGTGACCCCTACATGGATCTCTCATGGCAGGAAGTTCCCGCTGCTCCCGAACCGCTCGAGACGAAGCTCATCGACGGCCTGCTGGAGCAGCCGAAGTCGGAGGCAGGAGGTTGCGATGCGTCATCCCCTTGCCCGGCGCTCGCACCCCCGGTAGGATTCTTCCTGCTCATGAATCCGAACGCGACAGGAAAGAGCAATGCACTCCCTCCCAGCGGCATGAGGCTCAGCTCCACGGGCTTGACGTTGCCTGCTAGTCAAGCACCAACTTCATCATCGCCAGACAACGCGGGGACACGAGGCTATGTAGAATGGCCGGCGGATGCGCAGCCATTCCTTTCCAACAACTTCACGCTAGAGTTCTGGTTGTATCCTATGCAAGGGCAAGAAGAGCTTTCAGGGATAGCTGGCAACATGTACAGGTTTGATACTTTTTTGCCCGCAACATTTTATGTTCTGATTCGCTTGCAACAGTTCTGGGCTGAAACATTCTGGATGGGAGATATTCTTGACGAGTGAAAGCTGCGATCAACAACCATGCACATTCAAGCTTGTATTCGTAGTATCAGACATGTCCCTACAGGTACCCTTATCTCTAAACGACGTTGCACTCTTGAGATAATTTCTGATGGACAGGGACGATTGGAAGACATTCTTGTGAACGAAGCTTACTTCTTCATAGAAAGCAACACATGGACGCATGTGGCTTGCATGTTTGATCCAGTCAACGGTCCAGCGATGTATGCGAACGGGGTCCTGAAATCGCAGAAACATGGGAAGGGAGGCGGGATTGATTACTCGATGCCAAACAGTTTCAGAGTGGGAGCTTACAAGGACGACGAGATGGGACTGCGAGCATTCAGAGGAGGAGTGGACGAGGTTCGGCTGTGGCAGGGGAGAGTGTCACAAGCTCAGATCATGGCGAGGATGGCGACACGACTGACAGGGTTGGAGGTCAGTCCTTGCTTGTAAGTTTGAAAAAGCCTCCTTATGCTCGCGCAGGGAGACCTGATGGGGTACTGGCCGTTGGATGAGCAGGAAGGATTCTACGCTTTGGATCTTGTGAGCGCAAACTGTTTCCAAGTTGCTCCGTCGACCTCGGAGGGAACCGATGGGAATTGTTTGTCGTCTGTTGGGATTCATGGATACTTGATTCAATCCGAACTGCTGGAATGGAAGTCTTCAGACTGGTCAGAACTACAAGGTAGTGTAGCAGGTACGAGTGTGTTCCGGTTCAGCGACTACTTGAGAGATTATCTAGAGCTTGAGGTAGCTCCCTTCACCGTTGGGCAACATTCACACCTGATTACTCTGACTCCCAGGCGAATTCGAAGCAATGTACCCACATCTGGGGATATTCAGCGCCTCTTTCCATGGTGGAAGTGTTCTTTCTGGGTCAGGTGTACAAGACGCAAACAGCTCGAGCCTTGACAGGTTGGAGGAGGTGGAACGCGAAGTGTTTTCTCACCCTTTTGACGTAGATGATTTCCCAACTGAGGGCATATGGAGTGTTTGCGTCGGGACTGGAGATGTGGTTGGAGGACCTTTCAAACTGTTTGCTCGTTCAGAAGGGGAATCTATCAGTTTGTCAAACGTCATGATAGGACAAGTGAGAGACTTGACCCGCGGTGCTGAAATCGCACGTCACTCCGCAAGCAGGTTCCCAGCTCTTGCAGCAACAGCATCATCAACCTTGCTAGAGTTCCCCAGACTTGTAAGGAGGTTGAACAAGTTTCTTGCTCCTACCACCTCACTCACTGTGTTCCTGCAGAACTTCTACCCATCAGTCTGGTTCAAGAGGGTATGCCAACACATCTCTTGATCCCTCCCTGCCTTCAGCTCCCTCTCTCTCGTCCCTCTCACCCCCTCGGCGTGTACCGGCCTCTTCCTCCCTCCCCTCTCTCCCCTCCCTCTTCCTCCCTCCCCTTCCTCTACCTCCCTCTCTCCCCTCCCTCTACCTCCCTCCCTCTACTTCCCTCCCTCTACCTCCCTCCCTCATCTTTCACTTGTCTGTGGTTTCCTGTCGGTCACGACACGGTCAGGCCATCGCGTACTGGGGATTTGACAAGTGCGGGAAGAAAAGTGAAGGGCTCACTGAGCAGGATGTGCGCATCACCGGATTCTGTGATGAGATCGGTCCTGCTCCTCCTGCTCCTCCTGCTCCTCCTGCTCCTCCTGCTCCTCCTGCTCCTCCTTCTCCTCCTTCTCTTCCTTACATCATCTGATGCATGTGTCTCCTCCAGGGATCTTGAGCCAAGGATGGAAGTTCCATCCCAATCAGTTCCTTATGGTCCGAAAGTTCGGAGGAATTGCGTCCTCGCCCCTCGTCTCCTCCTCTCACTCTGTCTCCATGTGGTTCTTGATCCACAACATCACAGGTCTTGCTCCTCGTCCTCGTCCTCCTCCTCCTTCACCACCACCACCACCACCTGCTCCTGCTCCTGCTCCTGCTCCTTCATTTCCTCCTCCTCCCTCTCCCTTTCGCCCTCCTCCTCTCCCTTTTCCCCCGCTTCCTCCTCCTTCTCAGCTCATCTCCTCTACTATCAGATGGCGACATTCCTCTCGCCACACTTGGCAGCGCACGTCACTCGACCATCGCTGACCTTCTCAGCTCTCCCTCCCAGCTGAGCTCGGCCTGGGATTATCAAGTGCCAGTGAGTTTGCGCCTTCTTTCAATTTGGCGGTTACGTCTGTCAAACGTCAGAGTTCGGATCTGTCAACCTGGAAGTCCTTCTTCACCTTACGAGCCTCGAGCAAGATGTGCAGAAACTCGACGGACGGGTTGTTCTCCTTCCTCCCTTCCTCTCCCTTCCCCGTCCCCGCACCCTCCAATCCTCGACCTCCTCTCACGTCATCTCCTCCTACCTCCTCCTCCTCCTCCTACCTCCTCCTGCTTCCTGCTCCCTCTCTCGACTTCTTCCTTTCTTCTTCTGTCTTGATGCCTTCCCCTCCTCCTTCACCTTCCTCCTCCTCCTTTCTCTTGCCATCGCACCCTGCCGCTCGTCCTCTCCTTGTAGTCCTCACACCTTTTCTCAGAGGAGGACCACACCTTACCTTCGGGGTCCTGTCAAGTTCACAACAAGACTACTTCCACTGCACTGGTACTGATAGGATGTTCTGATTTCTTCTTATCCCTGCATTCTCTCCCTCTCCCACTGTCGTCCTCATCAGAATTTTCAGGAAATTCCCTCCTGTATGGCGTCTGGTATCATGTGGTGTGGAGCTACGACGACGAGAATAGCGAGTTGAACTTCTGGGTCAACGGATTTCACCGAAGACGATTGCAGGTCATCGCTATGAACTCCTCCGCTTCCTCCTCCTCCTCCTCCTTCCCTCTCTTTCCTTTCCTCCTCCTTCCTCCGACTTTCCCTCGCTCGCTTCTTTCGTTGTTCCAAGTCTGAAGGAGGAGGTCAGGTCAGCGCCGCGATCGATCTCGGGGGAGAGGAGGAGATGGAATGTCCTTCATGCTCGGACGCGATCCTGCGACTCGCACAGTAAACTCAACGTGGACGGTGGACGAGGTGAGAGCAGCTTGTAGAAGAGAGCAAGAGGAGGAGAGGAGGAGGAGGACAGGAGGGAGACGGGAGCGAGGAGGGGAGGAAGGGAGAGGAGAGGAGAGGAGAGGAGAGGGAAGGGAGGGGAGGGGAAGTTACATGCGAAGTGGTGTTTGAGCGGACGGTGATTCTCCTTCAGTTGTTTGTGATGAAGGGGACGGTGACATCCGAAGACGTCAAGAACTTGCTGGAATATCCTTACTCCGAGTACAAGAGCACAGAGCTGATGCAAGGATCGGTATTTTCTCTTCCTCCCTCCTCCTTCTCTCCTCCTCTCCTCTCCCTGGCTATCTCTTTCCCTCTTGCTCTCACTCCCTGTTGCTCTCCTTCCTCTCCCCACCTTTGCAACTTGTCCTGTTGCCTGTCCCATTCTCTTCTCCTCCTCCTCCTTCTCCTCCCACATCTCATCGCCTTTCAGTCGCAGTTGCTGGAGAGTTACAACCTCATCTACACGCTCAGCGGGAGCAAGAAGAGCAGCAACAAGCGTCCTCTCAAGCAGGACTACATCTCGCAGGGAGTTGACGTTGAGCTCGCTTCCTCCTCCTACTGCAGCAAGAGGATCCCTTACTTTATCGACGAGCAGCTCAACCCCCTGGTGCGAAAGTCCTTCCCACCCTCCTCTCCTCCTTCCCACCCTCCTCCCCTTCTCACTTCCTTGTCCTCCTCCTCTACCTTCATCAACCCCCTCGTTTTCTACTCCTCCTCTCCTTCTCTCCTCTCCTCTTCTGTTCTCTTCCACTCCTCTTCTTCTCCTTACCTTCCTTGTCTCACCTATCGCAGGGCGTTGGCCGCTGCACGACGGACTGTGACTGCTGTGGGTTCCGCAACTGCTCGGAGTTCGGCGTCTGTCTTGGGTCAGCTGACCTCCAGCTCAACCCTGACTGCCTCAACGTCTCCCATCCTCCCCGAACCTTCCCCGAGCTGCCAACCTACTCTGCCGAGCACGTTCGTCCTCCTCTCCAGCGACCTGCCGGACCGACTGCACCCCTTCTTCCATCCCTCAGTTTGCTCCACAGGTGCTCCTCCTCTCCTGCAACCTCCTCTTTCACTCCTCCACTCCCTTCCAGCTCTTCTTCCTGCTCCCGTTCCAGCTCTGACGCTGATCCCCCTCACCCAGCGTCTCCCTCCCTTGCCGGACAAGAGCGTCGGACCGGACCCGAGCTACCTGCAGGCGAGTAGAGCAGCACGCGTGCGAGGTGATGGTGACAGAGGGAGCAGAGACTGGGAGGCATCCTCGACACGGCTGGGTACGGCGTGCTCAGCAACGAGAAGGATGTGACGTCCCCGCAATGAGGAGAGCCTTGCTCGACCTTCATGGCAGGGAGGTGTAGGAGATGGAAGATGACGATGAAGACGAGGATGAAGATGTTTATGATCAAGTTAATGTTAATGATAATGTCTTTGTAGCGATAGCAGTCAGCCCTGTAGATGTTCTTTATGTACAACAGCTCTTGTAACATATGCTTTCAATGTAACCCTCAAACATATTCTACTTGGATCTTGTCAGATTTCAAGGTCGACGCGTCAAGCCCTCCGTCGATGAATGTCTAAAAGCACTTCGTCACTCCTCCTCTCGTCGCGCCTCCTCCTCCTCCTCCTCCTCCTCCTCCTTCTCCTCCTCCTCTCGTACCTGAAGGAGTTTCCCCTCGTCCTTCAGCATCATGTCCAAGAACTAATCGAACGAATCATCAGAATCCTTCCTCACCCTCCTCTCTCTTCTTTCTTCTCTCTTCTCTCTTCTTCTTCATGGATTCCTCTGAGCTCTCACCATGTCATTGCTTGACAGGTCGTTTTGAAACACGCTGTGCATGCCGTTGGGGAACTTCTCCCGGATCTGCTTGATGTACTCGGGGGGACACCAGGGCCGCCAGTTCCCCAGCAGCGATCCAGACCTGAATTTCCCGGATGAGATGAGCTGGTGGGCAGTTCGAGAGCGAGCGAAGGGAAATATGGAGACGAGGGGAAGGGGAGAGGAGCGGGGAGGAGAGGGGAGGAGAGGGGAGGAGAGGGGAGGAGGGGGAGAGGGAGGGAGGAGGGGAGAGGGAGGGAGGAGGGGAGGGAGGGAGGAGGAGGGAGGGAGGAGCTGGAGGAAGGGAGGGAGGGAGGAGCGGTGAAAGTA